TGTTCCATCCCCCCAACAACCCTCCAACAGCCTCAGGCTCTGCCACATCCCACTCACCTCAGGCTGTTCCATTCCCCCAACAATCCTCCAACAGCCTCAGGCTGCCACCCACCAGCAATCCCACCAACTGCTGAGGCTCTCCCCCCTCTCCACTTCAGGCTGTTCTATCCCCAACACCCCCCAACAGTCTCAGGGTCTCCCATTCCACCAGGAACCCCCACCAGCCTCAGGCTCCACCAGTGCTTTCTCTCCACCCCACTCGCAATGACTCAGTGAACCCAGTCTGCCACACTCCGACCCTGACTCCCTGAAATGCTCTGGACCCCACTGACTTTTCCAGGCTCCCCAGTCACTTCTGACTTCCCATTCCCCAGCTGCTCATGCATCTGCCCAACCCAACCTCCTGTGCAGAGAGGGAGTGCTCCTGCCTCCTTGCCAGAGCGGCCCTGGGCCCTGGGGCACCTTGAGGGGAGTCAGTGACCATTCCTGGTGAGATGTCACCCATGGAGTTGAGCAGAACTTGGTAGCTCTGATTCTGGATGGGGAGAAGGGGAAGAGGGGAGTGCCGCTTCCACAACATGCTCCAGATCCTTTGGGAGCCCCTCTGTAGGGACTGTGCAAAGGAAGGCTCTACGGGTTAGCAGGGAGCAGGGCTAGGGGCTGGCTGGGCCCTGTAGATTCCACTGCTCCCCAGCACTGAGGTAGTACAGGTTAGTGCACACTGCACCTTCAGCAACTAATGCACAGCTTCCCCCTCCATGCTTCCAAGAGCCACCCCCACCTCTGAGCCCTGGCAATGTGGCTCTTTCAGGAGCCACACACAGATCCCGGCCCTCTGTGCAGATGGCACAGGTTAGGCCATACCCCCTGTCTCTCCAGGGGAGGGAAGGCCCCACACCTGACTGATTGCATGAGACCTCCAGCGTCAAAGCAATGGAGGGCTCCAAGCAATGTGTCCTTTTGGGTCACTGGTATGCCACATGGCAGCAGAAGGGAGGTGTTTGAGAAAACTACAGTGTGGACCAGGTCCATGGGGCGATGGGAATTTGCATGTAGATCAACTCAAGGTGCATTTTGACTTGTAGTAAAACTCCAGTATTTTCAAATATATTTACAGTGGTTCCCATTAAAATATCAGTGTTTTCTTACAATTAGCACTCTGTGGTTTTTCCATGTGCTTTGGATTGGCAATATCTCTAAAGTCTCTGTTGGGAAATGTTGACCTTTTAAAAACAACTACTGTATCCAGTTTATTTTTTAAGAAAGTTGATTTGCATCTGTCCAAGACACCATCCTATCTGTGGCTAATTCTGTATGCAATCATTGAAAGATATCACAGAATAGCCTCAAGAGATTGGACTGTTTATTTTGGATGTTATTTAAGATTATACTTATTGCACCACTTTTCATTTCGACAACTCTAGTTATTGAGTCCCCATTAGAAATAAGTATGTATATTACTGATCCTTTTGGACCTGATTTGTAATTAGGAGCTGACAAGCGTGTACACCAATGAACTATGTTCAGAGCCTGACCATTTAAAAAAAATTAAAGCAAAATATCAAATGGAAATTTAAAGGAAAAATTGAACAATTTAGAGAACATCCTCAATCTGTTTTCCTTTCTATTACTATACCCTGTGTGAATACAGCCCAGGGCGTGAAAGATTTGGGAATGGGAATTTAACCCTTTGGAGACTGTGGACATGTATAATGCGAGTAAAAGATATTACCTCACCCACCTTATCTTTGTCAATGTTCTAAGAATCAGAGAATAGAATTTTTGATGGCAAGAAAACACTGAATTGGCTTTTGTGTCCGATTTCTCTACACTTGTTATTGGTCTTCACCCCACCAAGCTGAGGATATGACTGAGCCAAACAGCTTGTTGTTTGCAAAGAGTGATGTAACTTTTCAAAGGTTACGAGACTTTCCTCTTCTTTGCTGTCTTTACTCTCCCTTTACAAAGTGTTATCCATCCTTTATGCCATTTATTTTGGAATCATCTGAAAAATGTTTTAATTAATCAGCTATGTATTACTACCCAATAAACTCCTTAGCACTGGGACATCTACTTTACAGCTGTTGGCAGACAATAATGCTTATTTTCAAAGTGTTAAAATGAGTATGTTAAAGGATTGTTGCAAAACTTTGCTGAAGAGACAAGATACCTAGAAAACACCAAACCCTGAATTACAGCGGGTGAAATTCACCACAATGTAGAGAACCACCACAAGGCCTACATGCCACTTAAATGCCACTTACGCTCTATTTTGAGGGCATAAGTGAGACATAAATGGCACACTGGACTTTTGCTGCATCTCTGCCCGGGGTACATTTCACCCTAATGTAGTAACATAATGTATGTACAGATTAAAAGTATATAAATACCGGACATTTTATAATTGTAAACAAAATATTTCTCACTTTCTAAGACCCGAGAGCAGGATTTTGCGTTACCCCTGCAAAAGCTAATGATGACATCACAAACACCTAAATAACTGAAGGGTTTAGGGTCTGATTCTGAGCTCACTTACACCATCAATGATGTAAAACAGAATTGGGCCTTTCATTGCTAATTCTACACATTACAGGCCATTCTGTCACTGATTTGAGTGTTTCTTTCTAAACAAACTCTTCCAAGATGCTGAGCTGCAGGGCTCAGCAAACCCTTTGTCAGACCTGAGAAGCAAATCACCCTCACTCTGCTCAAAGGTGCTGTTTCGGTGACTGTTGCTATGTCCCTTTTGGACAGTGGATAGAGACAATTCATCTGTAGTGGCCAGGAGGGGGAAATTGCTGTCTGTTGAAGTCAGTACCAAGGACAGAGACATTTCCTTAGCCCCCTTTTCCCTACACCAGCCACAGATCCTGGACTGAATTAGTTTTCTTTCTGTAAATACCCTGCTTTGTAGTGTTAGCATTATCTATGGGCTGAGACTTTCAACGCCACACGTGGGGTTTGGATGTCCAGTTCCCGCTAACTGTAAGAGAAATTAGATGTCCAAATCTCTTACGTGGCTTTGCAAATCCCAGCCATAATGTTTTGTAGGGTAGATGAATATGACTAAAGGATTCAGTTCTGCCAGTGGAAACCTTCCTCTGGCTAAACTCCCACTGACAGATGGAAATTCTGTCTGGAGGAAGAACACTATTTCAGAATGATCAATCCTGGGTAGGAGTATAGGCCATGTACAGGGGGAAAAGGGAAGTAGTTGGTGCCGTTTACAGTTGGTATATTCTGCGCACATCTCATGCTCCGGCCATAAGTGTAGCAGCAAGCTGGCAAATTCAGATCCCTGGTTAATACTGGCTTCCCAAATATCTGCTGTATATTAAGTGATGGTGATGTTTGTAGGATGTCACTTTGCACACACCCCGTACAAAGCCATTTAGCTCTATCAATTATGGTTCAAGCTATTAGGACCCTAGTTCTGAGGTGCCAGGAAAGGGCACCATGTTGGGTGATCAGAATGCTAGAGCCCTAACTTGTGGTTGCTGAGCTCCTGTAGGATGGCCAGTCCCTGAGGGATCAGGCTGGTCGTGAGAGGTGACTGGGGCTTGCAGTTGCGTTGTCTGTTCAGCTGTGCAACTTCTAAATTCAAGTTGGACTATCATGAAAGGATGGTCTCTAGATAAAAGAAAAAAGTTCTCAGAAATAAATTCAAACCCGCAGCCCACCCTCTCTCTAAGGATCGGTCTCTGCAGCATGGTATGATTTACGGCTTGGGCAGAAGTACCTGCACTAGCTTTCATCTGGCTAGCAAGCTAAAAAGGACGCCGTGATGGGGGCTTCAGTGGAGGCTAGCAATGACAATACGTACCCAGGGAGGCCAAGCGGGCTTGTACAGCCCACGCTGCCATGTCTTTACTGCTACTTTTAGTGAGCTAGCTACATTAAAGCTAGCGCGGGTATGTCTACCTTCCCCCTCCACGATTGCAGCATAGATGTGGCCTAAATGCCTCCCTGCCTGACTTGTAATGGTCTCAGTTCCACAGCATGTAGCATGCCCATCAACTCCTAGAAGGAACTTCTATGATGCACACATGGAACAGATGGACAGCGTAACCCCTATGAACCACATGTGATATGTGTTTCATGGCGTAGCATGGAATCCAGGGATGAATACATTAATTTGCTTTCCATCAAATGTTTCCATAGTTGTGACCTCCCAGCCCTGGTCTACACTGCAAACGTATGTCGGTATAACGACATCGCTCAGGGGTTTGGCAAACACTGACCTAACTCCCAGTGACCCGGCTACTGCCTCTCCCGGAGGTGGAGTACTTGCACCGACAGAGAAACTCTCCCATCAGCATAGGTAGCGTCATGACTAAGCGCTGCAGTGGCACAGCTGCAGCGCCGTAAGTGTAGACAAGCCCTCAGTCTCAGCCCCTGTGATACGGTAATGCCGACTACATAGATCCTCTTCAGTACAAACACAGCAGCATTCTGATCACCCAACATGGCGTCCTTTCCTGCAACCTCAGAACTAGGGTCCTACCAATTTCACGGCCCTGAAAAATGTGTCACAGACCGTGAAATAAGCCCTTCCCCATGAAATCTGATCTCCCCCTTGCTGCTGGGAGCGCCTCAGTCAGGGGGCTCCTAGCTGCAAGTCCTGGCTGGGCTGGGGAGGGAGAGGACGTGTCCTTCCCCTGCATGGCCCCTCTCGTTCTCAGGGGGAGATCAGACCCACCTCGGAGTGCCTCTCCCGCTGCAGAAAGCTCCAGCCCCAGAGGTTGCTGCAGCTGGAGGAGACTTGTGGAGATGGGTCCAATATCCCCCTGCTCCTGGGAGCACCCCAGCTGGGGGGGGGTCCTAGCTGTGAGTCCCTGCTAGGCTGGGAAGGGTCAGGACTTGCCTTGCATGGAAGCTCTGGAATGGCAGGATCAGACCCACTTCCTGGTACCTTGTGGGTTGGGACCCCCATGATTACAACACTGTGAAATTTCAGATGTAAACAGCTAAAAACATAAAATTGACCAATTAAAAAAACCCGTGGCTGTGAAATTGATCAAAATGGACTGTGAATTTGGTAGGGTCCTACTTATAACCTTAGAGTTATTTAATCAGATTCACACTGGAGAGATTGGAGGTGGTCACATGACAAGGGATTCTCTAAGCTAGCCAGCTGCTGCTATGTATTTATCCAGCTTCCCAAGCGTACCACTGTTCAAAAACCTTCAGGGCAATTTGTGCATTGGGTGTAAGGACTGTGCAGCAATTCTGCAGTGACATCCCAGTGCTGACCTCTAAATGAGGATCCTGTAATCCAAAGAGAGGCACTTGGGAACTCATACGTACATTTGCTAGAATTGTGTGTTGTTAAGTGATGGCTCTGGAGTTGCTTAGTGGGCAGCGCTGCTCCCTGTGACAGAAATCATTTCAAGCAGAGAGGCATGCTCATTGTGTAATGCGAAGGTCAACAGTGTGCCAGCAGTCTGGGGTGCTGAGTGCTTTATAGTGGCAGTCCAAAAAACCAGTGCTGACAAGAGTTGTGAGAGGAGCGGTTTTAACAGTGATGATAGGGTTCTTTATGGGGAGGGGGTGGATGCCTTGTCTGGCTTCATTTATACATAAAAAATACTTTTCCAAAAATCGTAAGGGGCTTCTCCCCCTTCCCAGATTGGCTATTACAGGGGGAAGGAATTTGTATAAAAGTTGCAGCTGAGGCATAGGGCTTAAATGGACACTACATCCAAGTCTAATGACATATCTTTTCCTTTTGCAGGCCTATACAATTCAGGGACAATATGCAATTCCACACCCGGATGTGAGTTTTACCCTAATTTTTCTTATACCCATTTTACTCTTTTACGTTACCTGCATGATACTGTTAATTACTACTAATATTAATATTAGACAATAATATTAATAGCATATTCTCAAAGTAACAGTCTGTGTGTAGTATCTGTAATACCTTGAATAGCCTTTTAACCTATTAGCACTAAACTTTATTCATATTGAGGACTTGGCCTGATGTTAAATTATTTGTATTGTTCAGTGCTATCCCTTCACTAAGACATAAACCCTATATGCATTTTGTGCCTCAGAGAATGGTCAAAAATAGTCTTTTCCCTCTGTGTCCCCCTCTCCATAAAATGTTGCTAATGAAATACAATGGCTTATTCCGGTGCTCTTGTGAGGGGGTAGCTATGTTTGAAAGCTTATAGTGTTCTGGCTGTCTCATAGACTTTGCTTTCTAAAAGCTGTGCCTTCTCACAGGTTGGTCTGTCTTTGGGTATGTTCTCAGTCGTATTGCAAAGGAAGTCTGGGTGTCTGGTGATGCTGATTTCGCTCCCCACTTTCCAGCTATTATTTTAGACTGAGCCCAGCTAGCTTTTAGAGCCTGGCTAGATCAGTTAGTAGAGCGTGACTCTTAATCTCAGGGTTGTGGGTTTGAGCCCACATTGGGTGATTAATATGGGGGGAGGGATAGCTCAGTGGTTTGAGCATGGGCTTGCTAAACCCAGGGTTGTGAGTTCAATCCTTGAGGGGGCCACTTAGGGATCAGCGCAAAAATTTGTCTGGGGAATTGGTCCTGTTTTGAACAGGGGGTCCTGAGGTCCCTTCCAAACCTGATATTCTATGATTGGTTTACAGTCAAACTGTTCAGTAGCCTAAACGTAGATGCACACATTCCTCATGTTTTGGTGGAAGGGAACAAATGTCCAAACCACTCTCTTCAGCATGGCTTACAAGCAACACCCAAAAGACCCCTAGAAATGAATGGCAACACAGGTTTCTGTGTTGAGTTCAATTCCTAGTCAAGACTGTAGAGGAAGGCCCTTGGTGCTCTCTGTCTTTTCTGGTAAGGTTGTGGATTTTTTTCTGTTGATCTTAATGTTAGTCGTGGGGAGAGGCGACATAGAGAGGAAAGAAAGAAAAGGAGTCTCTGTGCCAAATTCATTCCTGATTAATGCTTATTTCTAGTTAGAAATACCTGGGCTCAGGTGAGCGGGGAGTAAACACATCCCCTCTGTAGCTTTCACCTGTGTGGCTCGTGTGCAGCACCCAGCATAAATTAAAATGATCCTCCTCGACAGGTTCCCCAAGGGAAGGCAGGAGGGATACAGACGCCACCATCTCCAGGAGGCAACTCTCTCCTGGGGTATAGGCCTGTTCCGTATCTTCCCTTGCTGATCCGTTCTGTCATTTTGAGGCATTCCCTCCTTAGTGTGAGGAGAAGCAGGGAAGAAGGCCAAACCATATGTTTTATAATGGTGGGTATGAACTAGGGCAAGTGCACTGAGGTGAGGTGAAAAGAGGGAGTCTTTTAGCCTTCCATAGGTGGAAGGAAGACCTTCCAGCTACACGGCTCTCAGGAACAGCGAACTGCAGCCACTGGGAGCTGAGGGGGGCCGTGCCTGCAGACGGTAAATGTAAACAAAATGTCTCACGGCCTGCCAGCAGATTACCTTGATGGGCCGTGTACAGAAGGTTGCCGACCCCTGCCCTATAAGCTGAGAAGGGGTTACCTCAGGTCAACTAGGGACACCTGAGTCCAGTTAAGGGCTGCCTGAGGCCTTTGAAAACCCCTCCTTGGGGGGGTGGAGGGGGAAGAGGCAAGCTGCTGCAGGGCAGTAGGGAGATAGGCTTCTCCAGGGTGAGAGGCTGCTCTCGTCTGTACAGTGGAAACAACCAAACTGACTGCACCCTGGGCCAACACCCCTCCAGAGAGGGGGGCAGGAACACCCCTCCAGAGAGCGGGGAAGGAAAAGGAATTCCCCTTTATTTTGTGTTTGTGAATTTGTTTCTTTATTTGGTGGAGGACACTGTGTGTTTTTCACACATTTAAATTTTCTCCAAAGTTTTCATGAAAAAATGCACAATTTTCAGATTTTTCCAGAAATGACCCCTGAAATCCACCCCCCTCTTTTTTTGCTTTTTTGAAACCAAAAATGGAATTTTTTCATTATTTCATTTTTTACCGTTTTCTACCACCTCCTATTACAGAGGCAAAAAGGAAGGGAAGAAAAGGGGAAAACATAAAAACTAAAATAGTGCAAAGTGCAAGGTCATTCACTTAGTAATGAACAACAAGAATTTTTGGTATAAGCTGGGAACTTATCAGTTGGAAGTGACAAAGGAAGAGAAAGGAAGAGAGAAACATGGGTGTATTGCTCTCTCTAAATACATCAGAGGGATAAACACCAAGGAGGGAGAGCCGTTATTTAAGTTAAGCGCCAATTTTGACACATGAACAAATGGATATAAACTGACCATTAACAAGTTTTCTAACCATCAGAGGAGTGAAGTCCTGGAACAGCCTCCCAAGGGGAGCAGTGGGGGCAAAAACTAACTTGTTTCAAGACTGAGCTTGATAAATTTATGGAAGGGATGGTATGATAAGATTACCTACAAGGCATGTGGCTCATCTGTGACTGCTAGTAGCAAAGATCCCCAATGGCTGGGGATGGGACACTAGATGGGGAGGGCTCTGAGTTACTACAGAGAATTCTTTCCCAGATGTCTGGCTAGAGGATCTCGCCCATGTGCTCAATGTTCAACTGATCACCATATTTGCGGTCGGGAAGGAATTTTCCCCCAGGTCAGATTGGCAGAGACCCTGGGGGATTTTCACCTTCTCTGCAGCATGGGGAACAGGTCACTTGCTGGTTTGAACTAGTGTAAATGGTGGATTCTCTGTAACTTGAAGACTTTAAATAATAATTTGAGGACTTAAATAATGCAGCCAGAGGTTAGGGGTCTTTTAGAGAAGTGTTTCTCAACCTTTTTTTTCTGAGTCCCCCACCCCCACCCCGACATGCTATAAAAATTCCACGGCCCACCTGTACCACAATAACTGGTTTTCTGGATATAAAAGCCAGGGCCGCCACTAAGGGGTAGCAAGCTGGTCAATTGCCTAGGGCCCCATGCCACAGGGGGCACCATGAAGCTAAGTTGCTCAGGCTTCTGCTTCAGCCCCAGGTGGCGGAGCTCAGGGCCCTGGGCTTCAGCCCCATGCAATGAGACTCTGGCTTTCTGCCCTGGGCCCCAGCAAGTCTAACACTGGTCCTGCTTGGATGGGGTGGGTGAGATGGTCCCTTCTGGCCTTAAAGTCTATGAGTCGCGGAGACCAGACTCTTAGAGCTGGGTCCTTTGCCGCATTAGCATAGTGGAAGGACCCTCCTGCAGGACGTGGTGATTAGACCATGATGAAGGCATATTCCTCTGCCTACGATGGTCAGGCTGTTGCCTAAGATCAGCTCCATTGTGTCTGTTTGCATGCACAGCCTCACAAACAATCCAGGATATGACAAACCCATGAGGGTCATGAATACTGATCCTAGTGATTTAATGGAATATTAAGCTCATATTCTGTTAGTCTATTTGCAAATGCATTCTGTGGGCCTTGTGATGTGATTTTGTCAGATCTTTTAAGCTATGAAGGTTGGCCATAATCAGTACTTGGATGTGAGACTTCCAGCTGTGACATATACCTGCAGGTGCTTTAGAAAGCAATACTGGAGATTCAGTAGGTGGAGCTCTTCCCTCTGAGGCAGTACTGAGGTAGGACTTCATATGGGGTTAGTGGCTCTGTGCTGCTAGAACCCCGACTTTTAGACAAAATGTAAAGTTGAGGTCCTGATCAGTTGTGTTGAGTAGAAATGCCTTTGCACATTCCACAAAAATGAGTGCCATGGTGAAATTCTACTCCCCAAAATCTGTGGCATTGGTTATGATATTCTTCCCTTCCTGGCCTCCTTTGTTGTATATTTTTTCTGTGCGCAGATTGAAGGCTGACAACTTCTACTTAGAGGTGGTTGCATTTCAGTGGTGAGTGAAGTGGTCGCTTTCTCTATAGTTGGCAATCATTTTATGAAATTTGTAGAGTGTGTTGATTGAAGAGCCAGTGGCTGGATGAGTGATAGAAAGGAGCTGCGTTGCTATTAATATGCTTGCTTGTCTCGATGCTTGTATTTAAATGCTAAGCAGATATGGGCCTGGTTAGTACTTAGATGGGAGACCAGGGCAAGGTGAGGTCTGTGGAATACATGTATCCTTTGTGTACCAGGCAGACGCTTACTGACCTAGCTACTAACAGGATACCAGAGTCTCCTTTTGTTTGATAGGTAACCTTATTGGTTTTGATTTACTATCTCCCTGGAATGTGTTCATCACAAATCAAGACAATCCTTTATTTGACAGATAGCTGCGTGGATATTTCGCGTAAGCCTATACTGTCCACATCTAGTTTTGCAATTTTTATTCATTCTTGCCAGTATTCACATTTGTTGTGGCTTTTATTATTTTGGAGTGGTGTTGGGGATGAAGGGAATACAGAAGATTTTTGAGGAGCAAGTATACAGATGAATATTGGGACATATTTTTTTGACAAAATACTGATAAAAATAGAAAACATGATTTATTTTAAATGTTTTGTCCTTTTTTATAAACAACAAAGAAATAAGATGCAAGAGGCTGCTTTACTGCAACGTGAAGACAGAGATTTAATTGCATGCTGCCAGGAAGCCAGATGCTCCCCTGGTGTAAACTGGCATTACTTCAGTGGGCTGTCTGACCCACGGCATTCAGGGTTAAGGTTCCCTGGGCAACTTCAGTTGTGTCCCCTTCACTTATGCTTCACAACAGCACCTCTTATAACATGATCATACAACTCTAGGATATGTGACATGTTGGTCTGTATCGCCCCATCCCTGTGACACACGTGCGTAGCACTTCATATCACGTATGCAACAGATGTCATTACAAAGACAAAATATGCCACGGTGGCCTCTCAGTTCAGCACGAGGGCAAACAGTGGTAACC